AAAGGAGGGGCTCTGCCTCGAGTCATACAGATGGATGATCATTTAATTCTTTCCCTTATCAAAGAGACTTTGGGCAAGTTATTTTGCTTCTGATTGCCTGGATTTCTCCATCTGTAAAGTGGGGATAATAATAATGTCAACTTTACAGGACTGTTGTGAGACTTAAATGGGATCAACTGTGGAAAGTGCCCTACATGTGTTGATTGCTCCTCTGTTCAGTGCTCATAAATGCTTCCTTTTACTGTTTCATTACCTACTGGGTGGTTGACACCAGGGGAGTACCTCTGGTCTACCTGCTCCAGAGAACTTAACTGGCAGGAAAGGAACAGCCTCTAAAAACGGGAAACGAAGACCCTTTCCTCTCCTAATGAAATCTTCAAGCTTAAATGTGAAAATGCTACCACTCAGGAAAAGCCATAAAGCGATAGCCAGACCAGTATTTTTAGTTCCAACGGTATTTCATTCAAGGTTCAAATTAACTACAGACTTCCAGAAAGAAATGAAATGGCTGGGTTCAAAGAAGTTTAAAACCAGATATAATGAGATTATCTAACTTAATCCCATTTTGTTAATTAATCCTATTAATCCCACTGAAGACAGAGAAAGGAAATGTGTTCTGGAACACACAGTAACTTTGGTGAACCACTTGATTCCCTGAGGGTGTGGTTTCCACCCATTTTACCAACATCCCACACTTTGTAATCCAATTCAATCCGAAACCCACTCGGCCACTAAGAGAGCAGTGGGCTCATGGCCTCTTCTCACGATCTACACTAACTTCGCACACAGATCGAAAATAATTCTGCATCCACCACACATCTTCTTTCCCTATTTGTCTGCCAAGGCAGGAATGCAGACACTGTGGTACTCCATAACGTTTTTTCAAAGGAATAAACTTTAAATAACAAGCATGAATATAGCACTTAAAGTAGAATTTGCCTCAGAAAATGAATTATACCAAAAATTTCAAAGAACACCAACTGGGCAGTCACCTCTGCCTCCAACCTGCCCTGCTGGAATCTATATATATTAATCCATGTTCTTTAAATGAGATATCTGCTTCTGTTGCCTGCAGTGTGTCTGAGACAACAGTACTAGACCACCTTCCTCAGCATCTCCAGGACAAGGACATCAACAGGAACTTGTGCATCTCCAGTGTGCAATGTGACCAATGGCACAAAAGGAGCTTAGATAATGAACAAAAGCAGCAGAACCAGACCCTTTGGAAAATAGTCCTACCTACAGTTGATAATGTAAGCCCCCTCACTGGAATAAATTTACAAGGCATACATGGGAGAACTTAAGACGGGTGGATCTTCAGAATTTCTATGTTAGTTGAGAAGTTAAAATGAGGATTTCAAAAATGACACATTACAGACACACGCGGATTTGCCCACTTGCCATTGTGGATGGGGTGTGGGGTGGAGGTAGATTCTAGATCTGTGGCTGCTGCTGGTTGCAGGATCAAGGCTTTTACAACATAAAACTGTCACCTAGTTAACCTCCAGTGCAGCCCATAAGAAAGGTAACTGAGGCAAGTTCTCAAAAACAAAACAAGCCTGCAAACACAACAGGAGGGGTAAAAGTTAGCAGGAACGCAACAACATTCAAACACCCAAAAGTAAAGAAACAGCTGAAAGAGGTAGCAGAACTAAGAGAGAAATGACAGGGAATACTTTTTTTATATTGTAAATCTGGGCTGTCCAAAAGGGTAGTTTTGAACCACATGTGGCTATTCACCACCTAAAATATGCTTCAGTTCAGTTCAGTCGCTCAGTCGTGTCCGACTCTTTGCAACCCCATAAATTGCTTAGTTCAAGTCATAATGTGCTATAAAATATACACTGAATCTTGAAATCTTAGTACAAAAAAAGGAATGTAAAATAGTTCAATAATCTTGTATTGAGTGTATTTAAAGAAATTGTAACATTTAAGATCTATTGGGGTAAATTATTAAATTTCACTTGTTTCAATCTTTTAAACGTGGCTACTGGAAAATTTTCAATGACAGATTCTTTTTTCTGTTGGACAGGGCTGCCCAAGATCTCTACACTTGTGCTGCTCAGTACAGTAGCCACTGCTGCTGCTGCTGCTGAGTCGCTTCAGTCGCGTCCGACTCTGTGCGACCCCATAGGCGGCAGCCCACCAGGCTCCCCATCCCTGGGACTCTCCAGGCAAGAACACTGGAGTGGGTTGCCATTTCCTTCTCCACTAGTCACACATAATTCAATTACTGCATTAGTGCAGATGAGAACTCTTCCATTGCAGAAAATTCTATTGGACAGTGCTGGTTAAGAAGAACTAAAAGGTGGACATTTTACACAGAAAAGCTAAGACTGTTTCAAATGTATCTAAGCCCAGAAAGGAATGCATAACCACTACGCATGTAAGTGGTTAAGCTGATGTGGAAATTCACAATTCTGAAGGGTTTATGAATGTATTAGACTGCTTGTTTATAAAAAGTATAATCTGGCAGCTACTCAAAGACTGTTAAAAAGGGAAAAGGTTCTGGCCCTCTGCTAGGTCAACACATCCCTAGAACCAATCCTTGCCTTGTCTGCCTGCCCTGCAGACCATTCAGCTCAGTCATACCACTTGGGCTGCTGGAACCTCCAGCTACGCTATTACAGGACAACTTAAAAGCTCTCAGGACAGGCAGAATTTTAGATACTGCCACTGTGCTGCCTCACACAATCATTTCATTCTACTAAACTAACAAATATCATGTCCCCAAGAACCCTAGTTAGAGATCACACGTAAGGCTTCCGATACACTTGTTTCTGTCCCACCATTTAGCAACCGGTTAGGAATCCCTTTATCTATTGATAGTTCCAATGGGTCATGAGTATATATATCTTGTATATATACACATACAACTGAGCACTTGTATCATTTGAGACTTTTAAGTCTTAAGACTTTTTAAGACATTTAAATCTTTTTTTAAGACACTGAAGAACAGGTATCCTTTATACTTCCTTTTCCAACACAATGTGTAAGTGCTAGGTGCACAACACTGCTTAAAACACTTACTTAGCATGAGTTATATGGCTAGGCTGTATATCCATGTGAAATTGTCAGTAACAGATGTTTCCAGTTCCAACCTGCCAATTCAGTGGTCACAGAAGCAAAGGTGATTAGCATTAATTTACTTCAGTAAGAGTAATGCAACTAATGCCAAGTCCTTCTACCACCTAAGCCAGATTTATAGCCGAGGGATCCTCCTGGGCCCACACCACAGAAAGGAGTTATGTATAAAGGATATGACATTTTTTGTACCGCAACCCAACATTTAGGGAAGTGCAGAAAAGACAAAAGAGGAAATTAGCAATACCACCTGTTAGTATGGTTTAAGACCCCCGAAGCAGCTGAACTTCCTTACCCTTAAGACTTTCCCACTCTGCAAGGGCTAACAAGTGGCTTCTTGTACAATGTGGTGGTTACATTTTGCGTGTAGCACAAATGCATAAATGACAAATCTTATTTCACTAATCAAGAGCTGTAGGTGAACTCACACTCACTCCAGCTCAATTAAGTTAGGGCTACAGAGAGTGGTGAGGGGGCTTCAGTCTAAGTAAAATTTAATAGTGCTGGTTACTAGGCAAGCTTACTGTATAAGCAGATAAGAGGGAAAAACTGATAGCATCAAAACAGACAGGGACTCGAACACCAAGGAGCAGTCTGATACTGGAATGCTGGGATGTGTTATGATTATTTAACATCCTTGACTCTGTCCATATTGAATTATGTTCTCTGCCTCATCACGGCTCTATTTTCCCCAAACAGGGGCCACCTCCTTCACTTGACATGAAATGGGAAGCCATCGGTTGACTAGGAAAACTGATAAGAAACTATTAAGTCACTAAATTCAGAGTCCAGATGTCTGAAGCAGCTAGAGGGCCAATTCCAATGTTCTGCTGTGCTATTTACCCACTTCTCTACAGCTGGTGTTTGCTTAGTCTTTATGACCTAATGGTTATTTCTGCTAAGGAGAGGTTCCTGGGGCTCTCAACAGAATTCATGGAATATGGTTAATGAGCACTACTTTCCTTTCTCCAGAGTTTTAAGAGTGCTACCCTTCGGTCGCTGGGGCTGGAATGTTTGCCCCAGGTGGCTTTTTGCCCCTTCAGTAGGAGAACAGTATGTAGAAAAGCAGTGCCTTGGTTGCAGTTGCTAGTTATGGTGATCCAGAAAAGGAGCCATATGCTCGCGAGATCCGCTGGCACAAAATAGCTAAGGCACCAAGAACAAATCCAAGAACAGCACAGTGAAGAATTAAGATTTACACAAGCAGGCACCAACAAGAGATGAGCCCGCTTATCAGTTGAACAGAAGTTTCCCCAAAGTCACCACAGCATCAGAGGATTGTGCCACCACCAAAGTACACTCTTCCAAGAACATTTTAAAGTAAGTTAATGTCATCTACCAGATTCCATGCTAAAGAGGAAGCGGAATATCAAGCAATTTTTCTAATTAAAAAGAATAGCCATTAAGTTTGGAGTCTACCATATCCCATTAAAAACTCCACTTTTGGGGATAAGGAGAATGGTGGCAATGCACATAAATGACAAGACAATTACTTGCTATAAACAATGGAAAGCAGACAACCATGAAATATAGAAATTGAGTGATCTCTCCTGATCAAGTAAAGGAGACATATATTAGCACACAGTCCACTTTTTAAGATGATAAACGCCATTCTGGATATTTCAAACAGCTGATTTCATTCTGTAATTTTTCAAATGCTTAGTCAAACGGTCACAATTTTAAAAACAGCTCAGCAACTACCTGGAATTTATTACGTCTAGTCTAAAACTTTCTCAAACAAGCTGGGGATTCAAACTCAAATTCAGGCTAAAATTTTCATGATAAAGAAAAAAGTTATAAACATTTTTCAAGAGTTTTGGTTAAAAGGAACAGCCTGCTATTTTCTCTGCAACTCCAATTCAGTTTTTTGTTTTTTTTTTTTAAAGAGACTCTATGGAGTTTATGGAAACTTTTTATTTGCTAATTTTTTTTTTTTTTCAGTAGAAATTAAACAAACGTGGAAAGGACAAAATCAGAGCATCAGTATCAGAAAGCAGCAGTATTTTTGATTTCTCGCCCCACTTCCCCACCTAAAATACCTAACATACTCATGCAAAAACAAAGAAGGAAAACAAAGTTTTAAAGGTATGTGCAAGTGACAATATATTCTGACTATTTCCTTTCCCATTTCCTAACCATTAAAAAAAAATTAAATTCACAGCCCCCTTTAAGACTCCTTTCATGAAAAGGAGCATCTGGTTTCCAGTTCTTTCTCAGTCCACATTAACAAAGTGGCTTGCTAGCAAAACACACATAGTAAGTCTGAAAAAGTGGATACCACAGATTTGACCTAGAATCAAGATTCCTCCCTGCAGTTCCAGGTATCCTCTTCTTTCCATACTTCAGCATTAGCAGAAAAGGATAAGCAACAATCGTTACCTCCAAGATCACCAAAGCCACGTTTCCAAAGGCACAAAATATTTTCAAGAATTTTTAAAAGACCCAAAAATATCTAACGGTATAGCTCAACAGAGTACGTCTGTGCAGTTAAAAGCATTAAAAGCATCAGCCTGTTTTATTTCGTGACAAGTTTATTGAACAATATTCAAGACTTCATCTATAAAAACAAAAATCTGCTGAATGAAGCCAAGGCAGTATTTTGCTGGCAATGTTGTGGCCATATTGGCAATACGTCATTCTATTGCGTCTGCTTTCTAAAGTTTGGACTACAACAGAACTGCCAGTAAAACAATTTAAATGTTTGCAAGAGTGGGAAATAATTTTTTCAAGTAATCACTGCCAGAAATTCTTTCCAGAAAATTTAACTAGCAGCAATTTTACATCTTCTTTACTCATTTTAAAAGTGTTCTTCAACTGATTAGTGGATTTATTTTTAAACACTTGACCCACACCTGTACACAGTGACAGAATCCAATAAAAGGGACTCAGCTTGATTAAGGCTTTTGTGCATCCTTATTTTCATCCAAGGTATTTCCATCCAAAATGTATGTCTGTTTACTTCCATACACAGCCCTATATTTTCATCCAGTGGGTTAAGACTGACCTAATTACACTGAATATTACTCTCTGAAATTCCAAATAAAGTTTCCTAATGGAATTTCCACTATCAATGCTTTGACAACTTGAAGCACAAAGCTAGAAACTTATCACTTAATAGTGTTGTGTTAAAAAAAAAAAAAAAAAGCCACTAATAATTCTACATCCAAACTACAGTGCACAGAACACACCTCCAAATGTTGCTTATGAACTAAATGTTTCACTGAAGTTCAGGAAAAGTTTACAAGTTTGCTTATTTATAAAATACATTTTATAGATTTCACTGACCCTTTAAACTAAAAAAAACAAAGCAATAAAATGGAGGGGGGATCCACTAAACCTAATGGAGAAGTTTCTCTTCTATTAATGTCAGAGTCACCAAAAACAGGCAATAAAATTTACACAGAAGATTGAAAATATCATGATAGTGTTAACAAATGCACAAAACTTTGAGCAAAGCTTTACAAATCCTTCATACCATACAAAGCAAATGAGAAAATAATGTAAATTTTCATCCCAAACCTTATTCTTAGGAGAAAATTTGCAGGAAGAGAGGTATGAGTAGTTTCACAGAACATATTTTCAATAATGTTTTAAAAACTCAAACTCCAATCAGAACTAGATGAACAGTATGCTTAGCAGTTAGCACTATGTTAATAAGTCTCAGATACACAAAAATCAAGTTCCAGAGGGCAAAGTATTTAATTACATTTCACAACAAGAGAAGCACTGTTGTGATTCGACCAAATATGAAACACAATTCTCTCCAATTTCTACACAAACCACTATTTTCTCAATTTATTTAATTTGGTGAACAATGAAATCAAGTTTTCCTTTTTAGCATTTATCTAAAATGTAGGAATAACAAAGTAGTTGCAATAAAGTATATGAAATATTTAATAAGAATTTACGAACACATAACCAAAATAAATTGTGAAAAATAAAAAGACTTTCATCTTCAAACCCATTTTTCTAAAATGAAAATAGTTTTCCAATTGGGAAAATAATCTGCAGTTGAAATAAGATTCCCAAGCAGCGCTGAATTTTGCACTCTGTCTTTGGAATGAGAAATGATTACTTAACAGAAAACTTAAATTGAACAGCATATACAAACATATTGCTTTTTTAGTTGAGGAGGCAATTATCTAGTGATCTGTCAAAGCAAATTTGTATTCGTGAATTACCAAAAGACCCACAACACAGCCATTTCGTCTTTGAAAGTCTAAATAATCCTTTCCCTAAACAAAAAATCCGGTACTGTCAATCCTCTAAGATTGTAGTGATGAAAAGGCTTTCCAAATCTTACCACACAAATGAAACTGTTGCCACTCTTAACTCTAAATTACAAGAGACGCTGTATTTAAGCGTTCTACTGAATTGCAACACCAAAAAGGCACTAGTTTTCTTAAATAGAAAATACTTCTTTTAAAAGGCTGACCCTTTTATAAGTACATTGATTTGTAGGAAATGTTGGGGATGTTTCAAACCAAGACAGAGGCCCATGTAAAAGACAAATTTGTTTTTCATGATATCTCACCAATCTCCCATTCCGTTTATATGTGACACGTCTTTAGAGCATTTTAAGAAAAGTAACCTTAAGTAGAGCCTTTTGCGGCTGTGAGTAGGACGTTGTAAGGCAAATGTTTTCATGACAAGGACACTCACCAACCAGAACCCATGTGGTCCTCCTGCCTTGGTGTCCTGAATGCCAAAGTATGAAAGGGCAAGGAGTCTCAATTCTCTCCCATCTAGCAGCGGCACTTGTACTCCTTAGAATTTTTGTAAACAGGCTCCTGATCAAACAACTAGACCAAAAAGCCTCCAAGTAACAGGATTACGTTATGTATCAATCTATGGGCTAGTTTATGGATCTTTTCCTATCACACTATTAAGAGTTAACAAAACTAACAATTTCAACTTCAGTTTTAAAAATCTATATATAATGATGCTTTCTTATGAATGGACCCTTTTTTGTTTAGTTTTACAAGTCATTTCACATAAATTTGCGACAGAAGGAAATTGCCAGAACATTAATAGAGTCCATCTTGGGCAGGATTTCAACTTACGCATATTAAACAATGATTACCGAAAGTGGTTTCTGGTTTTTTTATGCCGTCCAAACAACAGGTACGGTTTTTAAACTGACTAAACTACAACTCGGCGGTCAAACCAAAAAGGCTCTGGTAGGTAGAGGACTCTGTGTTTTACTTTTGTGGCAAATGTCTTATTCCACACAGTTTTAAGTGTGACAACAGAAATTAAAAGTTCAAGGTTATAGCACAAATCAAGTGTGGAGTTTTATAATAGAAAAACAACAACAAAGCAATTCTGCTCATTTACAAATGAGTCAATTAGGCAAACAAAGCAGCAACTTCAGAAGCAGGACTGTCTATACAGCAAGAACCCTCAAGAAGCAATAAAGGTACATACAGTGAATCTGTATACAGAGATTTTATTCAATTTTAAAAGAAAACGAGAACTTTAGACAATGCTTTGACCCTGTAACAAAGCAAATCTGTCCAGCTTTGAACCAAATTCCAAGAGTAGCCAGCTTCTATTTTTCAGCAGCTGGCAAGAGCACCCTTAATGAGCTCTATTGACATTTCTATCTTCTTCATCCATAAGGTATAAAACAAAAACCAATCTAGACTCCTTGATAAGCTTTATGTGGTCATTTGAGTTTTACAAATGGTTTCTCTAATGGTAAGCCAAAATCATTTTTGTGTTCTCTCGAGACAGCTTTACTATAACATACAGCAATGTTTATCTCGGTAGTGAGTGTCTGTAAACAGTCAACCAACACTCTATGTTATGGAAACCAATCTATATGCAATTGAAACAATCCACAGGTTCTAACCTGGAAACACTAGGAAAACAATCTGAATGCATTAATCACAGCACTATGAAGACTATATCTACCCTATGAAAAATTGATGTGAACAGCTACCCTAATACAAGTTTTACTTTCCTAGAGCCAATAGGTCTGTCATTTAAGTCAATGACAGCAGCTGTGGCTTCATCCCGAGATTCGAAAGCCACCATAGCTTCACCGGTGGGCATACCTTTTTCATTGTACTTTAAACACACTGAGCCTGGGATCACTTGATAACCGTAAAAGAAATCTAAAATCTCATCAATAGACACAGTGAAGGGCATGTTCTGTACTTTAATTATTGTTGGTCCTGGTTTTCCAGAACTAGATCCAAAGCCAGGAGGACCACCAATGTGGATTGGGCCAGGGCCAGGGCCAGGACCAAAGGCTGGAGGCCCACTCAAATGCCCAGGGGCATTTCCAAGGCCAGGGGGCCCGCTTCCAAAGCCAGGGGGGCCACCTAAGCTACCAGGGCCATTTCCAAAATTCTGAGGGCCCCCTCCAAATCCTGGTCCACTTAAATTATTTGGTCCACCTCCAAAACCTGGAACATCCAGTCCTAGACCAGGCAAACCACTATTTCCAACTGAAGGCATTCCAGGCCTAGCATCACCAAAGGCCCCTCCTAATCCTGGAGGAGGGAGTGGTGGTCCAAAGGCATTTGACCCACCAAAATTACCAGGAAAGTTAAATGGAGGCCCACTGTTGGCCTCCTTAGATCCTACAGCCAAGAAGGCATGCTCTTCACCTCCTGCACTAGGCATTCCCGCACCGGGCATTCCCACACCAGGCATTCCCGCAGCAGGCATTCCCGCACTGGGAATTCCTGCATTGGGCATTCCCGCAGCAGGCATTCCCGCAGCAGGCATTCCTGCATTGGGCATTCCCGCATTAGGCAGTCCCGCACTGGGCATTCCTGAACTGGGCAATCCCGCATTGGGTATTCCCACATTGGGAATTCCTGGAACTGCAGGATTACCTGGCACAGACATCTTTAACCCCTTTTTTCCTTGGGCAGGAGGATTTTTCTCAATCTCTCTCATATCTTCTAAAGTAACTACATGAACAAAAGCTTCTCTCCCATTAAGTTTTTTACGGTGTAAGCGTTCAGACTTACGTGCATCATCTTCATTTTTAAACTGAACCAATGCCTGTCCTAGACCTTGCCCATTGTTATCAACAAGAACATGTACAGCATTTTCATCCACTGGGATTCCTTCTAGGAACTGAAGAACATCCATCTTGGTAATGCTGAAGGGAATATTTGTTATATGGGCACAGACTTTGGCAGAGGTGACATCCCCCTCCGGATTTAACATCATTTCCCTCTGGTCATAGCTGAAGTTTTGCAGTCTTTTTCGAATCATATCTATCTTTTCTAGCATACCTTTCTTGGTAATTGGATGAACTTGAATAAAGCGATTACCCATGTATTGTTTATGACGACACAGAGCAGCCTTATAGTCAGCCTCATTTCTGAACTCTACGAAGCCTTCACCCGTTGCTTTCCCATTGGGTCCATAAGCAATATAAATACTATCTTCCACAATATCCAACTTTTTAAAAAAATCAATGACATGTTTGTTTTCTGCTTCAAATGGCAGCCCTTTCAAGTAAACACAAAAACCAGCCTCATGTGGTGATCTTGACCTTGACCTTTTCTGCCCACTGGGCGATTTTGACCTGGGAAGTGGCTGAGGAGGGGGATGGGTTTGTCCAGAAGGTCCTATACTTTGCTTAAAAGTGATATGGCCTCCAGCAGCTACCCACTGTCTCTCTGTGGCAGGACTAACTTCCACATAGCGTTGAATCATCAGCATTCTGTTTCGTTTCAAAGCTTCAAATGTATCTTGAGGGGAGAGAAACTTAACCAATCCATTCCCATTATTTCGACCTACATGATCTTTCAACAAATGCACCGCATCAACACGGAGCCCATGGAAAAAATCTCGGACATCATTTTCCATTGCAGAAAAGGGCATTCCATGCACACTGACATACAGATCATCAGGGTTGATGGGAAGTGGTTTCACACTGCTTTGCGAGTTCATCTGGACAGGATTAACAGGATTCAATGGACCCAGAAACACAGGGTTCAGGTTATTGTTCAGATTCACAGGTGCTCCAGAGCCATTCATTCCAGCAGGTAGAGGTGCCACAGGTGGCGGGTTCAAAGGTGGCATGCCTGACATGGGTGGCAGTGGGGTCATGGGTGGCACAGAAGGGACTGGGGGGATTGGGGGCACAGGAGGCACAGGAGGCATTGTAGGTACCGGAGGAGGAACTGGTATTGGGGGAATAGACGGCATTGGCGGCAAAGATGGCATCGCTGGGATTGGAGGAATTGGTGGAGGTGGGACTGTGTTCATTGGAGAAGCTGTGCTCGGAACAGTTGAGCTAAACGTTGGGCTCCCAAAGGAAGCCCCCATATTTGGAGGAGCCGTTCCTATGCTGGCTGTGGAAAATGTCTGTATGTTTTTGCTGCTTTCATGAACAGAAGTGGTGGCAGTAACTACACTGGGTGAAGGATTATTAAAGTTGGGTACTGTTGTAGGCAAGTTCACCCTGCCACTCATTCCTGAGCTAGGTGGCGGTCCTGATCTACTAGCATTTGCCGGTGGTATATCTAGGTTGGCAGTTTCAAAACGCCTACGACTCAGTTCAATCATATTCTGCATTTCCGTTTTACTACTCAACAACAGTGTTACTTTTGACCCTTTAATTGTACCACCTGTGCGCATCATACCAAGCCTTGCATCTTCATCAGTGGCAAAAACGATGAAAGCCTCACCCAGTTCACCCCCTACAATATGCACGCCCCCATCAGGAATGGTCAATCCAGAGAAGAAGTGGCGAATGTCCATGGTCCCCGCCACAATTGGGAGACCTTGCAAACGGATGACCACAGCCATGCTGCGCTGAAACCACACACACCTGCAGATGAGAAAAGGCAACGGCCAGGTCAGACTCCTGTTTATCACACCAAGTTTTCAGCTATAAGAATGACCATCTACCGTATTAGGCCCTCAAGTATTCCCTCAAACTATCACAATGTCATTTTTTAAAATGTGGATATTCTAAAAACTGGGTACTATATGCCATTTACGATGTAAATCCCAAATTCAACGTCCAGAAGACATTAATTCTGAAAACAATTAAAAGTTCAGAACTCAAAAGTTTCAGGGAAACAATTAGAAGTTCAAGACGCAGAAGTTTCAGGGGAAAAACCACCATAGGACAATAAAATCACCAATTATATCATCATTGAATAAGATTTAAAAGAAATGTGTACATCAAATCAGGAAACAAAGTTTATCTACAGAGGAAAAGATACAAAGAATATGTCAAAGGTAATATTTAAAACGGGCTCAGAATCTTCCTTATAAACTTAATAACTTTGTAGAACTATTGTAAAATTATTTTATGTGGCTTGATCTCATAACAATGAATTTCAAATAATAACACTAAAGTAGATTCAAGTCTCAAATAAGTGATTCCATATTTCACCCTAGAATGAAACATTAAAGAAATATTTTTTATTAAAAAAAATTGTATATGGGATTATGCATTACATATAAGGTTAACACATACTAAGTACCCAAAAGAAATACTGAATAAAATAGCCGAAATGTTAGATACCTGAAGTCATCATTCCAAAAAGTACAACCTGGTTACAGCGCCATTCAACATGGCTGTTCCAATTACAACTCAGGTCCAAGGACTCATTCTCAAAACTTCCATTTAAGTCTTGTTTATCCCACAGAGAGGGCTGATAATGATAAAGAGCTATTTTTTATTTCTGAACTAGTGAATGAACTTTATTCAGCGATTGGGACCCAACATAACTCCTATGCTATTTCTGGGTGCTCACTGATCTCCATAGATAATGTCCATTTTGATATAATCAAAAAGAAAAGTTTCTCCCAAACTTAAATAAAATTTCAGTATTTCAGTTTGTATAGTTTCTAAGAATAAACACAAAAGCAGCCATTAGTAAAGTGATCTAAAACAAATTCTTGGGGCTGAAAAAAATATATTAATTTGAAATTTATGTGGTCAACAACACAGGATGTTTTCCGAGCCATTTTAAAAATCGACTTTGAAATATAAACCTATTAAACTGCCTCTGTGATCTTAGGGAAATTACAAATTATGTGGGCTTTGGCTTCATCACTTCTTAAATAAGAACAAAGAAGAGCAAAGTTTCCTTCTGCAAGCTCTAAGGATACTAACTCCATGAAAGCAGCTCTCCAATGTCAAATGTTACATGAATACTAATTTGAGGCAACAAAATCTGCAATTATATCTCAATATTATGACTGCTGTACACAAGAGAAATACATTGTTTGGCTTTCAGACACTTTTCTGTCACACACCTACACAAAAATAAAAGCCACCTTCACATTTAACCCGGAAAGATGGACTGGCAAACAGAAAAACACTAGAAATCTGAAAAGAGGCAGGGGGAAGCTTTTCATTTTTGGTCGAAAGGATCAGTAAGAAAAATTAATACTAAATACATCACACTGATAGACTCTTTTGCCCTTATTTACTATTTAGCAGTCTACAAGAAGTTCATCAAGAAGGTTCTGATTCATTAAATCAAATTCTCATTCCTTATTAATTCTAAAAGATTGGCTATACAGCAAAGCTAAGACAATAATCCATTCAACTTCAAAATCACTTAATCACTAACTGGGGGAAACATCTTGAGTAATCTAGATCCCCAAAACTTGAGAGAGAGACAAAGAAATGTTAGTTTGCATTAGGACAATAAGATGAGGATTTTAATATGTCCCAAGAATTAAACACAGGGCTAAAGTGACATACACAGTTAAGTCTTCAAACCATCTGCTGCTGAGGGATGGGATTTTGCCAAAGTCTATACAAGGGTACACATGAAAACATGATATTGAAGGTCTGCCCAGGTTACCATCTACAAAAGGGCTGAGTAAACCAAAGTAGTGCATAAGATTTATTCATACAGCCATCCAAAGGGGAGAAGGTTTTAGGTTCTGAAAAAACATGAAATAAAATCTGCTATTCTGCTACAAAGTACCTGTCTGACAGATGAGTCATTTCAATCTATCTTGCTCGAGCCTATCCTAGTTATTTAACAAGAGGATCAAATTCCAATCAATAAGGTTCCATCTAAAGTCAATTTGTACTCTAAGACATATGACATATATACTTCTACCATTTTCTCTACCTATTCCACAAAGGAATATTAAAAAACCATACCAATAACAAGCATCTCTATTTGTAGGTGGTCTAAAATGATACCAAGGAAAGAAAACAGCTACTTACTGCCTAGTAATCAGGAATTCAGCAGAAGAAATGCATCCACAGAAAACTGACTCCCAAAGGAATCAACAACTGTTCAAGACACCCGTCCACCCCAATCCCATCCCTCAAATAAGCTTGTTAAAAACAACAACAAAAAAACCACATTTAGCTATTATACATATTTTCATGTTGTTTAATAAGCTATCTCATTTTATTTTGTATAAAAACAAACCCTCTATTCAAATGCTCTTACCTGATAAAACAAGAGATGTATTTTCTTAACAAGAAGTAGAGGTCAAGTCAATCCTGTGGGCAACCAATTAAAACCAACTTTTAGACTGCAATAGAGAATAAATGGAGGCAAAAATCAATGCAAGAAACACAAAAATTCGCACAGGCCACACTGAACTGTATATTACGAAGGCGAGTATGAAACCACTGGAGTACATCATTATGAAGTATTAGAAAAAAATATAGGTACCAAAATCCCACATTTATTATTTATTATTTGGTATTGCTTTCAAATGCTTTCTCTCAAAATATTATATATTTACACACATCAAGAATGTGTCATAAATTAGCCCAAGAAGAATGAATCAAGTGAAAACTAAAACAGTCATAAAGCTCAACCTCACATCTGGTAATTGCTTTAATCACTTGATGATTAAACCAGTCCAGAAAATGCCATAACACAAGTCCAACTGCAATCTATCTCCTCAGATTCCCACCAAATTTTTACGAAAAAGCACAAATTCACACAGTAACAGTTACTGGACAAATTAAGTCATCAACTCAAGGGTATTCATGGAAATTACGGCAGTTACTCTTTCAATCTATTTTCCTTTGCACCAAAATAGCAATCGAACAACAAAAAAAACATAAATGAAGTAAAAGTTCTGGCTGTAGGAGTAATTCCTAGTTAAAAACCACCAGAGTTCAAAATATTAAAGGAAAGTTTTTTTCTTCTAACACACCAAACTTGTTAAAAATAAAAAGTCCAGCATATTAAGAGTACTTCCAAAGTAAAAACAGATCACTCATCTTTCACTGGAATTTCTCCCAAACTGGTGAAGTTATGAACAACTCACAAGCAATTTATATGACCAAATGATTAGACAACTATATTCAAGAGTAGAAGAAAACTGTCACTATTAGGTATTCAGATTACCCACAGAAGCCTACTTAGAATGATGATACCTATTTTTAGCTATCTGTCAAGATCAAGATACCACCATTGAACTTAATATGCATCACTAGAAAGACATATTCAAAAGTTTCAGTGTTACTCCAAACTTTTCTGAAGAACAAGCTAAAATAAACATCAACATCCACTCAAATTGCTAAAGAACACTGAGATTGTTTTGCCACAAAAAGTTATGCTATACGTCATAAACAACACTTTCAAAAGTCCAGAGCATTGTGTTAAATCTTTTAATAGTTGTACAATCAATACTAATTTGTCTAGAATTCTGAAACTCTTTACTTAAAAAGCCACATCTAGTACTTTAACAGGTCACAAAAGGCAATGTAAAACAGAAAAAAGCTTGCTTTACATAAAGTTTATGTTCAAACAAAGAAGAGCATGAATTATTGCAGGTTTTTTCCCCAAAATGTACAAGTCTGACTAAAGTAATTTTCTAGTTAAACACTTGTGATGATTCCTACTGGAGATTCCAATTCAAAAGGTCTGGTATGGGGGTCAGGACATGTGCCCTGAAGGCAAGGGAAACAAGTTCCTCAGCCTCCTCCCTTTCAGACCCGAGAAGGTAAGTAAGATATGTCCAACCACAGAGGAACAAGCTTGGTATTAGCCAGTTAAGCCCAAAGGGAACATGCTATCTACTCCCAAAAATGTCTACAGGGTTGCCAGAAATTACTGAACAAGGAGAAAAGTTAAAAGAACCAGCTGAATTTGACAAATCTCTAGTTGAAGTGTAACACGCTGAATTTACATGCTACAAAATCAATCAAGACATAAATTGTTAATCTTCTCTAATTCAGCGAAAGAGAAGCTCCACCTTATCCCATACCAGAGAAAAGTACACAGGAAGCTCAGGCTAGAAGCCAGAACTTCACAACTCTTCATATTACATCCCCTCCTTCAAATAGAAATTGAGAACTAAAGTACTTTTGTTTTCAACATCTCACCTGGAAAGGGATGCAATGATTTAATAGAAGCATTACTGTTAAATAGAAGCATTAGGAATCTACTCATTCCTGCATTCTAAATGTCAGCAAGCAACTAAAAGTAGGACACCAAAATGAAAATTTCATTCCAATCACCTTGAGCTTTAACGAATTTTAGACTGAAACAAGTCTAAGCAACAAAACATCTAAAATGCATGTTTTACCTTCTCATAGAGCTAAGGGAAAGAGAAAATGGGCTTGATTTGCCATTAAATCCACTGATATATTTCAGATCTAAAACAAGCAGCTTGCTTTAGTATACTTTTGCACTTTATCTTGAGAATTAACTCACATAGTGGCTTTGTTTCCACTTTACAAATACCAGATACATGCACAAATATTTGCTACAAAATTTTAGCATATTATTATGAGAAGACAGATTCTCTTATTTACTGGCCATTCCAAAAACTTGGAATTTCAGGATAAAATGTCTGACAACAATCTTCTTTACCAGGAAGCCAAGGCACAAATCGGAACTCGATCATTTTCACTATTCATTTGGTAATACACATCCACAAGTGAATTTTAACTTTGTTTAATCAGTTTTGATCACAAGAACCAGGGTACAGGTACAATCTAAGATCTTCAGATTCAAAAGAAAACAAACATCAGCACCCTTTGAATGTTCACCACAAAGATGAGTAACAGAGAACCAATCATAACGGGCACCATGCTACATGCAACATAACCACATCATGGTATACATTATGAAAAAGAATATAGCTTCATCGACTTAATTTTGTCTCCATCCCCAAATGGATCACATTTCAGGTTCTGTTCTTAAAACAAATCTTCTGACATTGAGGGAGATATAAACCTTTGATAGCGCATTTCTCCACTTTCTCATTTATCTCCAGCCAGTAATCAAAGGCAGTGAATAAAAAAGACATTTCTAAATATGATATTTATGCTCTTGCCAAAAAGACTATATTATTTTTTATATCCCCCCAAATGCCAACAAAGTTCATTGTCTTACTGGCTTTAGACTTCAAAGAAAATATTTCTTCTAACCTAGCCAACCACATTCATCCTCACTACTGGTTTTAAGGCTTTAAATTTAATGAACTAAACTCCATGCAAACCAAAATGTGTATGTGTGGTGGTAGTAAAATCTGGTAAAACTATAGATTAAGTGATTTTTCTTAGTTGACCTAAAACACAACAACATTCACTTTTCCCACAAACATTTATCAAGCACTTACTGGCCAGCCAGAAGATCAGAGAAATGGAAGATAGTCACTGCGTTTTAGGCAGGGATATCTAAAAACCTCTTTTGCGCAACCGTTACTGACAGAAGTTCTTCCTATTTCATCTAGAGAAGAAAATATTCAATAGAAGGATGGAGTGACTATCTACAAAATGGAATAAAAACAGCATGAATACTCACTGAATTTCAACATCTGGAACACACTGGCCCACAAAATCAAGTTTCATGTCTAAAAATTGTACCAACAACCCCCAAACTCATCATGCAAAAATCAAGTCATTTGGTATGTCGAAGTGAAAAAAGCCTCAAGTTTTCTGGAATTAGCATATAACAGTATATTCCAAGGAATTACCACGATGGTTTCTAAAGCTTCACATTTTTCACCTAACAGATATGAACATAAAAAAACTGAAATTATGCATCACAATCCATAAACAAAATAACCAATAATACAGCATATAAATGTGGTATAAAAATGCATTCCCTGCTTCATTAAAATTTTCCAGTAATAATACCGAGCACATCCTCAACTTTTACAAAACAAGCCAAACATATCATTTTCTTCAGAGATTAATTACCATAAACATTTTTTAACCTCCTGTAACAGTTCCTCCCAGCTTTTTAATATTCTTAGAAAATGCCTCAATACAATTTCCTTCCACTAAATCCAGAAATCCTCCACGCTATCAAAACTACCAAGAACGACCCAGTCTGGTGTTTGTCTATAATTAAAAAACAAAACGCAACTAGAACGGCCTATATGTCCAGACGGCTAAGATTTTTTTTTTCAATTGCAAATGCTCTGAAATGCATTAACAATGTAAATTAGATACTAAAATCCAGATAAATTCATGTCAGTAGTACTGCATTTTACAAAAGTGACACCATTTAAAACCATACAAGAAACTCTAAAACAAATACTCGTCCGAAGTCTCTCCTTAAACAAAACCTTCAGTTGCAATCATTTTTTTAGTAGGTTATATCGACTGGCATCACCTTAATCCTGTATATTTTGGTTCCTGCCAACTATCCCAATTTACATTATGTCATCTCTGGGAATCCGGGGCAAGAAGGGTTTTAGGATCCAGAAACCTCGCTTATGTTGTCTGCTATTTCCAGTACACAGCTGTCGGTACGTTCAGAGCTGAATAATCCAGAGTAACCCTCACCGGAGCTCAAATTTTCCACTATACGGCAAACATATAGTCCATGCACTTACAATCTAGCAACTAAGCCCCCTGCACTAGTGATCTTCCTGTCACTAACCTGTGGATTATCAAAGCCGCTCCCACTCATTTCACGTGGCCGCAAACTACCATCTCCAGCCTTCAATCAAAACACTCAGTTCACTCTCCATCAAAATCACCCAGTCTCCGCATCCCACTGAACGTCCTCCACCATAAATGCTGGAGGCTCTCCCAAGGGACACGTAAGTGAGGCTCTTAGCAGACCCTCCCCTACGCGGGAACCAAGGGCCTAACATTTTAACAATTCTCACAAGGCTCGCGAGGCGGACTCACCCCCACGCCACCCGTGCGGCCTTCTCAAATTAACTACACCCCAGAGAGCAAGCCCCAACGCTGACACTCAGAAGCTTTTCACAGCAACCCCCTCTACCTTCAGGCCTCCATGGCGGCCGGCCAATTCTGACTTCCTTCCTACACTCAAGGGAGAGAACCGACTCAGGCTCCCTCCCCACAGGTATGTCCAGTCCCTTTTTTCAGGGGCCTCCATTCCACTTCCAGTGGAGGGAGTGTCCTCACTACGATTACCTCCTCACTTTGGGACACAGTTATAATCTCTGCCCCACGTGGGGGCATAGAGAATCTCGTTAATTCGGAATGTAGCGAGTTTTCACTGCAGTTCCCGTTCGTTTGCGAGCCGCTGGGGCACCCAGCTCTAGCTTCCTCCCCTCTCGAACAACGGGGGCATCCTCGCTATGGCCTCCTGCCCTCTTCGGTAGGCAGGCTCATCCTCTCTTGTGTTCTCCTTGCATTCTCTCAGGACCGAGAGGCGCAAGTGGCGCCCCAAGACCCCCGCAGCCAAGCCCCGACCCTTTTGTGTAGGGCGCTCGCTGCGGCGGGCTCCGAGGCCTCCGAAGGCCCCGCCCCGGACCACCAAGGGGCGGCTAGAGCCCCGCACAGCCCCGCCCGTTCCGGAGCTGCAGGAATCTTACCGGCGAGAGCTGCGCGGCACCCGAACCCAGACCCGAGTTACCCCCCGCGCGAGTGCCTCCGCCCCGCGGCCGGCAGCCCCAGCCCGAACGGCTTCCCGGAGCCCAGAGCAGCCAACTCCTTCTTCTCCGCTTCACAAGATGGCCGCCGGCCCGCTCAGCAGCTCACCGTTCCAGAAAGGGCGGGGCGGAGTGACTGACGTCACGGGGCGGGGCGGCGCAGGCGCGCTGAGCATCTCGGAAAGCTCTCGGAAGTTGCCTCTGTTTCTTGTGAGAAGTTTGCGACGTTTGCGCACTAGCTCCGCCTTTAGGGGAGCGACGCGGCTTGATAGGTTCTGCTCAAGTATTTGGTGCTTGGGTTCAAGTAGTTACTTCTTTTCGAGCTTCTGCGAAAGGAGGAAAATACTGCCTACCTTGCAGAATTGTTTTGAGATTAGAGGGACCACAAAATGGTGAAATTTTAAATTTCAGTCCGGGGAGGCTTACCAGTCCTCGTTAACCCCTCCGCGATTGCACTTTAGTATTGTTTTGTTATAGAAAAAATTATGCAACTTTGGTCCTAAGCCTCGCAGACTCCACTCACTCGTATATATCCTATCTCTTGATTAATGTTACCGTAATTGAACTAGTCTTCCAAGGCAGAAAAAGAGGCAATTGACTAACAAAATCAGGGACTAAATCCCCACAACTCCCAACAAGTTTGGGGAAGATTTGTGTTGCAAACTAGCCTGGTGCTAGCTGAGTGTGTAAAAAAAAAAAAAAAACCAGGTCACGCTTTTAAACAAATGTATGATCCTGGGAAAGACTGAGGGCAGGAGGAGAAGGGGACGATAGAGGATGAGATGGTTGAATGGCATCGCCGACACAATGGACATGGGTTTGTGTGGACTCCGGGAGTTGGTGATGGACTGGGAGGCCTGGCGTGCTGCGGTTCATGGGGTCGCAAAGAGTCGGAGACGACTGAGCGACTGAACTGATAATTCATTATATATACTTTTTGCAGGTAAAATGCAGTGCGTTAAGAACAAAATCTACTAAATACAACGTGGTACCCAGGATTGAATCCTGGAGTAGAAAAAGGACATTAGTGGGGAAACTGATGAAATCTGAACGAAATCTGAAGTTTAGTTAATACTGATGTACAGATGTCAGTCTCTTAGTTTTGACATCATAGTTTTATGTAAGATGTTTAAAATTAGAGGAAATTGGGTGATAGACATGCAACTTTATACTATCTTTGCAACATTTCTCTAAGATTATTCAAAATAAAATTTATTGAAAAAATTATAATTCCATCTCCTCCTTCTCATCTGTCTGCATTCACCGTACTTTAGCCTAGTGGCTTTCAAACTTTGAGTATCACTCACGTGAGAAATACATTTGCAACCTGTAAACTCATTAAAATATGTGATAAAAATAAGATACTTAACATATGTGCTATACTGTTGGTGGGAGTGTAAATTGTGCAGCCATTATGGAAAACAGTATGGAACTTCCTCACAAAACTAAAGCTAGAGTTGCCATATGATCCAGTATCCCAGTATTGGGCATATACCCAAGTAAAATTATAATTCAAAAAGATATTTGTACTCATATGTTGAATTTTTTTTTTTTTTTTTTTTGGCCATGCCTGCAGGGGTTTGATCCCTGATCGAAACTAAGATTCCTCTCAGGAACACCCTCAACTCCCTGAAAATCTTTTGCTTCTCCTTGAGATGGCCGATGAAGAAATGGACACTATTTCAGTTCATTTCTCCTTTCCTATGTCTGACCTGTCACAAGTTGAAACTAAATTCAGATTTTTTTGGTCAGGAACCCACCAATTTTATTTGAGAATTTAGAGGACTCACAGTGGCTTTCGATCTGAACTGGCAGGACATAGATGTCATCTTGACCACCTGTTGTACACTGGAGGAAGATATAGAGAACAGAGCTGCAGGTGTCAAGGGGGGAGGCAAGTAGGGAAGGAAGAGATCAGGTGTTTGGGATTAGGAGATACAAACTAGCATATATACAGGATGGATAAACAACAAGGTCCTACTCTATTTCACAGGGAACTATACTCAATGTCCCATGATAAACCATAATGGAAAATATGAAAATACATATAACTGAGTAACTTTACTCTTCAGCAAAAATTAATGTAACATTTTAAATCAACTATACTTCCATAAATTTTTTAAAATATTTACATGTGATGTACTCGAGAAAAATTTCTTCCTCACCCCTTATAATGCTGGGAACCTCCCACTTACGGTTTCAGACCCACAAATCGAGAAACTCTACTCTGGCTGTTTGGACCTCTGTTTCTCAAACACCATGCCTTTTCATGCCTCAGGCCCTTTGCTCTTACTGTTCCTTCTTCCTCATCAATCTCTAGTTTTTTGATGGCTAGAAATCATGTTTGTGCTTAATTAACACCTCCTCAAAAAAGCTTTCCTAGTATAACCAGCATGGTAGGTTCTTTCCCTGTTACTTTCTCTACCACTCAATTTCTGCTACAGCACACATCACAGTCTATAATAACAGCCTTATTTAATTCTTATTTTCTTTCTGGCTACTAGAATGAAAGTTCACCGAGAGTACTTTTATGTATTTTTAATTAGTGTATCCCAAATACGCAGAATAATGTCAGGCACCTGCTGCTGCTGCTTGCTGCTAAGTCGCTTCAGTCGTGTCCGACTCTGTGCGACCCCATAGACGGCAGCCCACCAGGCTCCCCCATCCCTGGAATTCTCCAGGCAGGAACACTGGAGTGGGTTGCCATTTCCTTCTCCAGTGCATGAAAGTGAAAAGTGAAAGTGAAGTTGCTCAGTCATGTCCAATTCTTAGCGACCCCATGGACTGCAGCCTACCAGGCTCCTCCGTCTATGGGATTTTCCACACAAGAGTACTGGAGTGGGGTGCCATTGCCTTCTCTGGTCAGGCACCTGAGAGGCACCCAAATAATTGCTGACTAAAGAAATAAGCAAGAAGACTCATCTGTTGACATCAAGTCAAGTAGTAGTCTGCCCCATGATTCCCAAGCTTGGAATTCTCCTTGAGCCTCTCATAAAGTCATACAATAAATACAGGAAGATGATTTTATTTCTCTAATCTGCAAATTAACAATTTTTTAAAAAAGAAACATAAATTACTACAAGACCAGGTAGAGTCAGTCATACAGATATTTCTAGCTCCATTAGGTCAAAAGAAAAGAAGGACAAGAACACAGAGGAGACAAGCCTTCTAAGAAACTTGCAGTTCAGTCCATAGATGATATGAAGAGGTAGCCTTTGGAGCGACAAAAAAGATGAAGTCATAGATGATTACGCTTCCATCTGAAGAAGTCAGTCTCTCTGAGCAGCGGTAAGCAACAACTCAAATGTCCACCTAGAGCATCAGGGTCCCTGAACAAAGAGCGTTTTTACAGTTCCTCTGGCTCTCTCCACCAAGGATACAGATGTGTCCAGCAGCAACTCATAGCAAATGTCCCTCCTGGTTCAGGATGAGAACATCCACTCACTATAAGACCAGAGAAGGATTCCTGGAAAGAAATGGGGAATGTTCCCCACCAAAGGAGCTGAGGCCGGAGAAAGACAGCTTTCTCATGTTTCTGACTCAGAGGCAGGCCAATGCTGAAGTCAAGTGGGCTACACCAGTTCTGGTTTGAACATGGAGCAGCCACTGGGGGTAACGAAATGCCTGGCTGTGCATGAGCTGATGAGGCAGGAGGAGCCAGGCCAGCACAAACTTAGAGGCCCACTCTTCTAGTGTTGGGTCCACTTGATGCTCTTGAGGTCAATGCCATCCTGCACCATCTCCCAGAGAGGGCTGCCAAAGAAAAGAGGTATATGGATGAGTGAAGACAGGAAGCAGATAGCACTGAGCCCTAACTTGCCTTCATCTGTTTTTGTCTCTCCTCTGCTTCCTACCCTGATAACCCCAAAACAAGAGGTTATCAAGTCTTTCTCAGATGTCTGAGAAAGTCCTTGTCAGCTCTAGCCTCTCCCCAGCTGCCAACATTAATAACTAGGTAACCCAGGCTCAGCTTCAATGAGGCCACTCCAAGAGTGTCAAGTGTGGTTATATTCATGAAGCCCTCAAGCCACTCATGAGAGGCTATGGACAGATTCCTTGGGAGAACCAAGACCCTTGGAACAAGTGTAAGCAGCAAGTTTCGGCCTCTCTACTAACCACCAACACAAATGAACTTTTCAGCACCTGCTTCTTGGTTTTGCTCTAGTTCTCAGAAACAGAACTTGGCCCTAAATCACCTGGGTATGTATCACCATTATCCAATTCCCACAAGATCCATCTCCCCAGAGGTGACTCTACTTCCAACATCCCCAGCTCCAATTCAAAAGGATCTTCTGAGTCTTGGACTTGGGCATCCCATTTCATACAAGAACAGCTACTGAGAGATCTCTGCCAAGGTCTGAGTCCCCTTCAGTTTGAATGCCTTAGATAATGTTTCCAGACCAGATATTACTTCAATGTGTTACAACCATAAGATTTTGATTTGGAGTTCTCCAGTTAATTGTATTATACCAAATTTCGTTCTATTTTTGGTTTATCTCTCTCCATTACACTATGCATTCCAAGCACAATTTTTTTTTTTTACTTTATTTTTGGCTGTACCACATGGCATGCTGGGATCTTAATTTTCCGGCCAGGTACCAAATCTGTGCCCCCTTCAGTGGAAGCACAGGGTCTTAACTACTGGACCGTCAGGGAAGTCCCCCAGCACCTTTCTATTTGACATTTTCCAAGACTCTTTGAAGTTAGCCTTCTCTTTAGGGAAGGTGACTTAAGATTGCAGGCTCACAAAATAAAAACTCTGGCTGAGGGCTAATGGGACGAAGTTGAAATTGTTTGCAAGGCATCAGAAGGAATAGG